AAGAGAAACATAGTTCCAACACTGAATGCATTAGCCTGCCAGGAATTGGGCAATAATAATCTGACTCGCTGTGCAAGTAGCTGCCAGACTTCCTGCTCCCTCTGAAGTTCACAGCTCTCTGGTCCTCAACTGATCAAGCCTGAGCTTCTCTGTGAGGACCTCAGATCGATGGTCAGGTGGCAGGTGTATATTGTTATATGCTGCAGAACCATCCACTACCAGCTAATGATAGTATAGACTGCTAACACCAATCTTCCTTTCTATAGTGTGTCTAAGGAGCTGCTTGGTTACCATAGGTAGAAGATGAACCACTAGTGAGTCTTAACAACAAGAAGCACTTGTACAAACAATAAGATGTAGTTTATTGCATGATAACAAAAGCAGTAGATAGAGGGGTCATTGATGCTTTTATTAAATGTCCCCTTCATAATTATAGCCTGGCTGCTGGGACCAGTTAGACATAATGATTTAGACTATCAGGAGCCAGGCATGGCACATCTGATCCCATCAGGATTTCAACCTAAATTCTCCAATTCCTCGCTCAAGACTGCATGACATTATCACATTGATTTGAACTTAATGCAGTCTTCAACATTAACCTTTTCAAAACCCTTACTTTACACAATTGTGTAATCCTCTCACCAACCTCTGAAATTGACCTTTAGCTAAAATGTTCCCAAATGTTTGGAGTTGGGAGGATAAGGATAAATAAAATGGCTGTAAAATCATATCATGTTGGGAGGGATGGGTGGTCAAAGGAATTGGCCTAATAGGATAACAAGGTAAAAATTAACTGAAGAAGTTCTAATCAAGCAGACCTTAAACAGACAGCAGGTTATGTTACAATTAAACAATGATGTGGGAAACAAGCAGCAGGAGAAATTAGTACCAGAGCAGTTTGAAAGGAATTGGAACTTTCTTTAAAATGTTACAAAGTTGGATCACATCAACCATGTTAAAATGGGCATGGGACATCCTAACTAAAGATTTAAAATATTTTACAATTGTGTCCAAATTATGTAAAGATTTATTATGTCATGAAGTTATCTATGTAGGGATGTCTTGTTGCAATTGCATACAGCCCTGGTGAGATCACACCTGGAGTATTACATACAGTTTTTGTCTCCATATTTGAGAAAGATATTCTGGCTATGGACATAATATAACGAAGGTTTATTAGACTGATTGCTGGGATGGCAGGACTGACATATGATGATACATTGGATCAAAAGGTAATGTATTGAAGTTGAATAACGATACAAAGTTAGAAGGGAAAATAAGCAGTGAGCAGGATGTAAAGTTGCAAAGTGATGGCAAGTAACGAGGATTGGCTTTCGAATCCATCATCGAGAGTTTAAAACTTCATTATTGCAGCAGGTGGAGGTGGAGAGCAGGAACGGCGCCATGGAACAGCTTGGGGACTCTGAGGATCGGGTGAGAGGTTGCAGCCCACTCCAGATAATCTGGGAGGACACGCCTTTAAAACAAGGATCAGCCTGCTTCTTAATGTGCACTTAAAATAACTTAAAATAATCTGAAAGTCAATATTCTAGTCTCATATGAATATGAATATTCAGATCGCTGTTGTTTGAAGGATCTTGCTGTGTTTGGCAACGTCTATGTTAATGTAGGAGTTATTGCACTTGGGGAAGAGAAAAATAAAGAATGATAGAGTCACTGGACTTGTAATACAGAAGACTACATTAAAGCTTTGTGTCAAATCACCAGACTTATTAGAGAGAGATGACTGGTGGTTGTTTAACCTGAGGGCCACCATACCTCAGGCAAGGGGGAAGAGGCTGAGAAGCAGAATCCCTCAAGGTAACCTCACCTGGTGTAGGAATTGAACCCACACTGTTGGCATCACTCTACTTTGCAAATCAACTGTCCAGCCAACTGAGCTAAACCAACCCCACTTTGAGTATACAGGTTCAACCCCACTGTGGCGGCTGGTGAAATTTAAATACAGTTCATTATTAAATCTCGAATTAAAAGCTAGCATCAGTTATGTTACTGTCAGATTGTTGTTAAAAAAATTACCATCATTACTGGTTTCCTAGTTCCCTTTACCAATCTGGAATCCATATTATTGAAAGGGTGTGATTGCACTAGACAGGGTACAGATGAGATTTACCAAGATGTTCCCTTGGCTGGTGAGATTTAGTAATGAAGAAAAATTGAATACTCTCGGGTTGTTTTCCTTGGAGCAGAGGAGACTCGGGGACAAGATTGAAATGTATAAAGTTATGAAGGGCACAGTTAGAGTTGACAGGAAGGAATATTTATGTTTGATGGACAGATCGATGGTCAGGAAGCACAGTTTAAGGTAAGAGGCAGGAGATTTAGAGAGAGTGTGAGGAAAACTTCTGTTAACCAGAGTATGGTGGGAATCTGGAATTTATTGTCTGTAAGGGTGGTACAGACAGAAGTCTCCTTAACATTTAGGAAGTATCTAGATGTGCACTTGTGATGCCAAGGCATATATGGCTGTGGGTGAAGTGCTGGAAAATGGGATTAGAATAGTTAGGTGGTTGTTTCTGACCAGTGATGAATCTATTGGCCAAAGGGCATTTTTCTGTGCTGTACATTTCTATTAAATAAGTGGACAAGAAGGCAAAATATAATGCAGAGGAATATGAAGCTTTCTACTTTGGTAGGAAAAATAGAAAAGCAGAATATCTTTTAAATAGTGAGAGACTGGAAAATCTTGGTATTCGGAGATAGCTTTTACATGAATTACAGACCATGCAGAAACAGCAAGCAATTAGGAAGAAAAATGGTATGTTATTAGTTTCTTCAATTGAACCTTTACTTTCGCTGTTTGACTGACAGTGTTATGAGAATGTAGCAGGCCTATGCTTTTCAAAGAAAATATTGAATGCCTGATTTTTTAAAAAAAATTTGAGGATTTCAAAGACTTCTCAAGTTACTGAAGCTGCTTTGTTTCTGCATCTCGCTAATGACGGAAAATGCATAGAGGCAGCAAAATGGGGGAAGTGTAGCATAAAGGGGGCATGTTGAAAATACTGAGCTAATTGCATGAGGATATGTGCATATTCCATATGTGATTAAAAGCAGCTAATGTTAATTGGAACACATATTTCTTTACGGACCTGTTTACACTGGGAATGAAGGAGGAGAGACAGCAATAGAAGAAGAAAGCAATGTTCAGTGTTTTATGCTGAACTGAGGAATTTAAATCTAAATCAACCTATGTGTGAAACGAACCAGCTTCAGCTTTTTTCTTTTCTTGATGAATATTTCTCAGATTAACATGGTATGGAGGGATCATAGGTGGTGTAAAAGAGAAATGGGTCGTTTAGGGGTATGTGGAGGGGACATGGGATTCCGGTTGTGGAGGGTTGAGGGGTTCAGATTAACAACTTGTCTGAGAACTGGTTCAACCAGAGTCAGGATTTTGATATTGGGAAAAGCCCCAAAAATCAACAGAAGACAAAATCAAATTGAAGGACTAGACTCCATGCAACTTAGTAGCGTGAGGGGCCTGACAAAAAATCAATGCTGGGACGATATTTTGCCCGGCTGGAGAGTCTGGAACACAGGGTCCCTGCCTCAGTATCAGTGGCCAATCAACTATGATTGAGCTGGTGAGAAATGTTTTCACTCAAAGGACTGTGAATCTTTGGAATTCTGGAACTCAAAGAGTTGTGGATGCTCAATGTAATGTTTAAATCAGATGTTGATAGATATTTGGCACCTAAAGGAATGAAGGGATACATAGATATAGCAAAAGAGTGCAGTTGAGGTAGAATATCAACCATGACATAATGTAATGGCTCTGAGCAAGCTCTAAGGGTTGGAAGTATAACTGGTTGCTATGCTTAAGATAAATTTGATCCCTGTCAGTTTTCATGGCCATCCTTGAAGTAGATTCTGGAATTTGGATTTGCTAGTAGTTTTTTTTTGCCATCAGCAGTGACCCATTTATGAGGATGTTAGCTCAATTGCAAAGTAGCAGATGGAAATACTTATGTCAAATATTTTTCTGTTTTTCAGCATCCATGGATGCAAATAGCTTAGATACTGGTTATATTCCTCAGCTGAAACACTAAAGTGTTCTTCTATCAATACTTGGTCTGTCCTGTATGTGACTCTTCACATTCAACAATGTGGTTGACTCTTAATCAACCTCTGAAATAGTCTCCTAAGTAATTCAGTTATTTTACAGAAGGCAGTTCATTTACATATGAACATAGAAAGTAGGAGCTAAACTAGGCCATTCAGCCCTTCGAATATGCTCCGCGGTTCAATACAAATGTGGCTGATCCTCTATCTCAATGCCATATTCCCATTTTCTCCCCGTTCCTTTGATACCTTTAAAATCCAAAATAAAACTTTCTTAACTTCCACCCTCTCAAGGCAAACAGAATTGGCATAAATATCGGCCTTGCCAATGAATAAGTAAACAAAAGGAAAGCTAATTTTAGGATTCCTGCAAATCTTAGATGGCCATGAACCTAACAATGCGAGGAAAAGACAAATCTTTGACATATCTGATCACATATTCCAAGGGTTCACTATCCTTTCATCAAGGTCGATGCGAAGAATGACTCACAGCTGAAACTACATTTCTCTAGGATTTTTCCAACAACTACTGTATATCCCTCAATATTCCTTTGTGGTCACCATAATAATGTGGTAGCCTACTCTGCACTATCAATCTTACTTCATGAATCAGAAATTGCACCAGCCATTTCCCCAAATAATATTTCATGCTTATGTGAAAGATAGAATAATGAAATATATGCCATACACATGGTGAAAAGATTAACACCCTGTGGTTAATAAAACCAAGTGAAATTCCTGACAAGAATGTGTAGCAAATTATATAACCACCAATTGTAAAGACACCAAACGTGGCTTTCCGAAATTTCTTCTTCCATAATGAATCTCAGAAGTTTAAAATGATACCAGAATTTGTCTGGTTTGGATTGCAAGCTTCCAGGAAAGAACAGCAAGTTTTAATAAAGTATGCTTACCCTGGGATACAAGGTCCACATTCTGCATCGGTTTCTGTGGTGCCTGGTGTCAAGACAGTAGCTCGAAAGAAACCCTCGCAATCTTTGTGTCTTCTGCAGATTTGATATACCCCCCTTGAGAATTTGCCATTCTGGCAAGGCTGGCAGCCATAGGAATCATCCTTAACTCCATATCCACAGTTCTAAAAAAAAGTCATATACATTAGAACTGTAGCTAATTGGAATTATAAAATTCGAATGGCCATGATCTGCATAGTAGGAGTGCCAACTTAAGAATTAGGCCACAAATTTTACCAGTAAAACACCCCCATGCTATAACATACTCACTAATTCCACTGGTTCACAATGGATGACAATGAAATTGAAAAATGAAGTTTTGATGTCTCTTTTTATATCACAGATGTGCTAGCGGAGATGTGAAGTACAATACAGTTAAAGATGATTTAATTTGATGTTGAGAGCTGTTTAATTTGATTTAATACAGATATATCCTGTATATATATTTCTGATATACTGTCTCAACAATTTTCTTGTTAAAGGTTGTTTTTTTTCCCTTATTCATTCACAGGATGAGGGTGTGTCTGGCTAGGCAGCATTTGTTGTCCATCCCTAATTGCCCAGAGGTTAGTTAAGAGTCACTCACATTGCTGTGAGTCTGGAGTCATATGTAGGCCAGACCAGGTAAGGATGGCAGTTTCATTAAGTTTTATGGGACCACTTGATCTGAGTATGATGGATCTTGATACCTCTGAAATGCAACTCAATTTTCAAAAGGAGGGTACCAGATGTGAATCTGGGAACCCATTTACTTTCAAATGATGACTTATGAAGCTCTTTGAGCAACTTCCTAACAGACCAAGGAGGGCTGAAATGCAATTTTCAAATTGGATATTGCCACATCCTAATAGTCTGAAGATTATTGGTGTACAGCTATCAGAAGCTGCAATATTTTTGTTCAGCCTGAATTTTTTTTGTCACCAGGAGTTTTGCTGTGAGATCGGGCACCATACCATCCAACTGCTTATTTGGCCAAATCACTGAACACTCTGAATCCTCTGAAATCCTGCCTCTTCTCTTGAGTATGACAATAGTAGGTCCAATCATGACTGCTATCTACCCTTTGATGCTCTAACTAGTATCTCCTGCCTCTAAGCAGTGACCAGCACCCCTAATTGGCAGTAAACCCGCATCCAGCATAATTACGGCTTAATATTTAAAGATAGCATTACATAAGGTGGCTCAGTGGTTAGCATTGCTGCCTCACGGAGCCCGGGACCCGGGTTTGGTTCCATCTTCATGTGACTATCAGTCTGACATTAGCACATTCTCCCTGCCTCTACCTGAGTTTCCTCTGGGTGCTCTGGTTTCCTCCCATAGTCCAAAGATGTGCAGGTAAGGTGGATTGGCCATGCTAAATTGCACATAGTGTCCAGGGATGTGCAGTCTTGGTGGGTTAGCCATGGGAAATGCGGGAATATGGTAGGGGGCTGGATCTGGGTGGGATGCTCTTCGGAGGCAGGGGGTGTGGAATTGATGGGATGAATGGCCTGCTTCCACACTGTAGGGATTCCACAAGCAACATTGACCTAGCATGGTTTTGGAAACAGAAATCTTCTAGGCATTAGATTCCCCACCCCAATTTGAAAATAAAGTTCCCTAAAATTACAAACAAATCCAGAAGGTGATATTGAAAAGCTGAAAAATAAATCAAGCCCTCCATAATATCAGAGCTTGTTAAGATCTAAGGTAAGTTCATGAGAGATGATGGCAATCCCATCTCAGTGCTAATTAGTACAGAGAATTAAAACTACGGCCTTAATTACATATTATTGAACTGTAGAAGTGAAACAATTCACAAGTTTTCATATAGGTACTTACTTCTATGTAAAAGGCATACCAACTAAGGTGATAAGCAGCACTAAATGTGAATATTGCAAGATTGCTGAGTTATTCTGCGCCATTCTTTTACAGAAGTATATCTCACTTCCTGCCTTACCATTGACATGCATTTTGTATTGTGAAAGCATTTGCATGGCCCATACAAGAAAAAACTACAAGAAATTTGAGTGCAAGTGTACATACAGTTTTAACACAATGATAAGCACTAACCAACCGCTCTGGCACTAAAACTGAACAACTTCCAGTGTGGAGTCTCATTCCTTCAAGTTATGAATTACTTTAGGGGATGAAAGAAAATGTCAAACATTATTTTTTTCTCACATTCCCTTGTTATGTTTTTGCCTTAATCCAATCTTGCTTTCATTTCATTTAGCCTTTTTTATGTAAGAGGTTTAATATTAAAATCAACTCCTTTAATTCATCCTTCTTGATCCCCAGATATCAATTTCTCAATCATTCAAGCTCATTAGTTAAGGAGCTACACTTGTGCTTACTTTCTTCATTCACATCCCAGATGACCTGTTTCCCTCTCTGTGCTGTGACAATAGAACTGGCACAGCAAAATTAGCCACGCTGCCTCACGCTTAAATAATTTCTTCCCTTCTTATTTAATCCTTGTAACATGTTCTTGGACTACGCATTATCTTGGCTGTTTCTCTTCTTTATTGCAGTGTGCACGGATAATTTGTCCTGTTACTCTCTCTTTCAACTTCCTGGACTCCAGTAGTCACGCCATAGAAAGCAATGACTGGCAATCCATGTGGAAATTCGTGGAGATGAACCCACAACCTCCCTTTCCAGAAAAGTGCGGGATATTCCAAATGTGCTGCATTGTACATTCTGCCATTATAAAATTCGAATGGCCATGATCTGCATAGTAGGAGTGCCAACTTCAGAATTAGGCCACAAATTTTACCAGTAAAACACCCCCATGCTATAACATACTCACTAATTCCACTGGTTCACAATAGACGACAATGAAATTGAAAAATGAAGTTTTGATGTCTCTTTTTATATCACAGATGTGCTAGGGGAGATGTGAAGTACAATACAGTTAAAGATGATTTAATTTGATGTTGAGAGCTGTTTAATTTGATTTAATACAGATATATCCTGTATATATATTTCTGATATACTGTCTCAACACTTTCCTTGTTAAAGGTTTTTTTTTCCCTTATTCATTCACAGGATGAGGGTGTGTCTGGCTAGGTGTGACCTTCATACGAAAATATTTCCCAATAATTCCTGATTCATGTTCCCAAAATCATGTGAACTTTTTCGCCTCTTCATAAAAATAATTTGTTGAAATTCTATCATGAAAATTTCATAGGTAAAGTAGGAACAGAGGAGCAGGAGTGCTTCTTCAAGCTGAATTCAGTAAGATTGTGGCTAACCTGATCCACCTTTCTCTCTGCCAACATAACCTCGACTCACTTGTCTATCAAAAATCTGTTTAACTCAGCCTTTACAAAATTCCATGACCCCACCTTATGCTCTATTTGGGAAGAGAATTTCATAGACTAATGATCCCTTGACAGACAAGTAAATCTCCTTATTTCCAACTTCTTTTTCAAACTTCTAGTTCAAATCTCTCCCCCAAGAGAAAATATTATCTCGATATCCACGCTCTCAAGTTCCATCAGTATCTTATATGTTTCCTCTCTCATCTCGGAATTTATATGTTCCTTTTCTAAATATGGTTAATCTGTTAGAGTGAATGTAATTATGGTAACTTAGAAATAGAGGCCCTGTGATACATTCAATCTAGAACAGAGTTCAACTTAAAAAAATCATGTTGAATATGTTTAATTACCAATTTAACCAGCAAGTATGAGGCAAATATGTCAAAACATATGTATAAAATGCCACAAAAACTGAGCTCATTCAATCACAGATTAACAATTGTACAAAACCATGCCTGTGTTATATTTTTAAAATGATATCTTCTCACTATGATCATATGTACATTCAACTTTTCTACTCTTTCCAAGTGGAGAAGTAATTTCACCACACTTTTATTTTAAAGTAATAAAACGTCTTACATTAACTCAAATGGAAATGTGAGAAAGATACATAAATAATCACAATCTACACTTTAATAAATTAGCCAAAGGCAACCCCTTATCTTGCTCTAGGAAGCCTAAATGCATCTTTCACTATCATTACTCTTTCCACCAATTCTCTCTCTTTGTCCCCAAGTTTGCTTTTCTCAGGTATTCCCCATCTCTTTCATTATCTCCCTCCTCAAAAACAGCAACCTCAAGCCCTTTGTCCGTTTCCTCAATTACGTGTTGCCTATTGGTGTGATGGGTCGAACAGTGAGAGATCAGCTTGTATATACATATTCTTGGGTGAGAACTCAAACAACCATTAGATTGTCAACACAACTGTGCCCCAGCTTAACTGACAGTCCTAGTGTCTGATTTCTATCTATTTACAATGTTTGTTTATAGACGTTCAAGTAGTGTCAAGTGCCTTGTAGTTATGGGTATTGGAAATGTAGAGGGTCTAGTTCTTTAGATTAAGACTCCCATTGGCCTCAATGAATGAAACTTCTTTAATATAATGAAAGTCATATATGAATTACAATTTTAAGGCTTTATTTTACACATCCAACTGCCACTGTAGAGTTCATTGTTTTTATGCAGTGCATACTGGGTGAATGAGCAGAATGGGCCACACGGTGGCTACAGAGACCTGAGAGGCCATAGGAAGTGGAAGGAGCAGTAGACCTTGGTAGGTGGGGGCATAAGGAATATATTTTGTTTCTATCTTTCAAAAGTTTCTATTCTGCAGACTGTGGTTCATGCATCCTTCAACCAATATCACTGTAATTATAATAAAAGATATCATTCAAGGAATGCAAGATTCGCTGGGCCAGCATTTACCGTTTATCATTAGTTGCACAGGAGAAGGTGATGGTGATCTATCTTCTTGAACTACTGCAGCGAAACAAAAATCAACCACCATTCATCTCAATGCTGTTTACAGGACCTTGCTACGTAGAAAGAAATGCTGGATTTATTAATTTTCAGCTTGTTTTGGATATAAAAGGCTCTATATTAGTACAAAATGAACTGGTCTTATTGTCAAAAAAAATCAATCATGCTAGCAAAGGAAAGTGCTAGTCTTTGCAATATTGTAGCTTGGAAGTAGCTGTAAAAGACTTAAGTAGTAAAAGTTCTTTTCAATAACATTATTGATGAATTATCACAATTCACAAGATGCAATTTTGAAACTGGACATGGTCTTGGGCATTAGGAAGAATTTTCAATTGCACTTCTTTCATTTTGTACTTTAGGAAGAAAACACTGTGAGGTCCACACAACTGTTTACCAAGACTTTGTAATTTCAGACAATGCAGTCCTTGTTCTCATAAGCAAAATACAGTACAGTACGATAACCACAATTAATTCTGGGGTTTCTGAAATATGGAATTTTGGACTGCAAACATTTCAAGTAGCTGTTTTGCAGAGTTAAACGTGAAGTCTGTGTTAGTGAATTCCGTAACAGAAATGTGATAAAACTGAAACCTGGAATTCATTGTAATTATTCCAATCTGAGAGAACAATTGCAGTTAATTGCAATGTGAGTCTAGCTTGTTGAGTTGTGAATGACCACTAATATTCCTCACAATAACCAAAATAGATAACGTTGCAAATAGCGATTCATAAAATAGAGCTGTGGCAATAGTCTATTGTTCATACTAATAAGGGATTTGGAGGGATTAATTTTAAAACAACATGGTAATTTTCTAACCTTGGCAAATGGAATTGTTAACTGAAGGCTCGGTATTCCTAACAGCAAGCAGGAGGCAATGGTGTAGTGGTATTGTTACTGGCTTAGCCATTCAAAACCTTGGGCTAATGGATTTGACCAAGTTAGATGCTGAAATTTGAACTCACTCACCTTGTAATTACATTTTAATGAATTTTAATTAAAGCTCATTAGCAGCTATGCAACCCTTGTTAATTATCAGAAAAAACTCATTTAATTTTAATTAGCTCATGACCTTGACAGAAAGGATGTGCTGAAAATCAAACTTCACTATTTCACAAGTCATCACAAATGTGAAATATGGGCAATTTAATCTCTAGGATAGTTAATTTGCCTAAGTGTGACCATTATCCAAAATATAAGAAACGTGCACCAGGTTTTAAAATAAACAAAAAAACACAAAAAGTGAAGTTATTATAACAAATACTCTACCCTGTGGCAAAATGGATTATTAATTACTACTTTACAAACCCTAACAACACCACATTAAAATCCACACATGTATGCATTCATTCACAAATAGGTCAGACAGGATAGACGAAACAGCTGCAGGGCCCCTGAGGATGGGTGGGGCCCACAGGAGGATCAGAGTTTTTCGGCCCTGACTCCATTTCCTGGGGATGAACAAGTCTCAGTGATAATGCAGGCATCATACGTCCCAGGACACTGAGACAAAACTATGTCAGCTGTTTGATCAGGACCTCAGTACTACAACAGTAGGCCATCCTCTCCCAGTGGTTATGAAGGTGACGGCTACTTTGGATTTATATGGTGACATGCTCCTTCCATGGGGTGACCTGCTTGGGATCTGTCAGTCATCCACCAACAAATGGATCAGGACAGTGACCAATGTTCTAAAGAAGGGTCACGGATCTGAAACATTAACTCTGCTTTCTCTCCACAGATACTGCCAGACCTGCTCAGGTTTTTTGAGCAATTTCTGTTTTTGTTTCTGATTTCCAGCATCCCCGGTTCTTTTGGGCCTTTTTTTTCTGCCAAGGAGAAACCTTTCCAATAGTAATTACCTTCTTGATAAAAAGATGCAATCATTTCCTTATCTAACCCAAAACCTGGCTGTTAACTCACACCTGGCAAAAAGTTTTCAAAATCACTATTGGTTACATCATTACTTTTAGACTCAAACAAATTACTAATGGTATCGATATGATGCCAGGGCTTAAAGGTTTGTCTCAGAACCTGTTGTCAAGGATGTCACTGATGGGTTCTTATTTCATGAATTTTTACACTTATGTAGATCAAGCGCTTGCGATACCAAAGTATTAATCTGGGTCACATTTTGTGATTGCGATGTCAAAATTGGAAGTCAGTAGGAAGAAATTAAGTTAATCAATGCTGGAAAAATCAGGAGCCAATCACATAAATTGATGCCTATGTTTGATTCTCTGATTTGTGTTCAATCGAGTTAAATTCCATAGAATCTCACAATTTCAAGACTCTTGTTTACTGCCCTGTTTAGTCATATGCAAAATTACATTTTTGTGATAATTTTCTAAGTCCACTGAAAGTGTACGTGAAAAGACCAAAAAATAAGTTATAAGAAAAACAAACCTCATTTCAAAAGTAACTTACTGAAACAGGTTCTTCACCTGAGTGACATTGAGGACAGGCATGGCAAGCTCCAGTTGTGTGATTAAAATATTCATTTTCCCCACATTCTGAGGAGTAGTCAGCAATAACTGAAGAGATCAAGGATACCTGACATTCAAGAATAGATTGTTATCAGATTGCTAAATGTTCCCAAAATATTACCAAAATATTCACATTCATTTCAACAAGTAAGCATTAAGAGATAAAGTAAAATAACTTCTCCACAAGATTCCTGGATTATTACTCATAGATGTTAGGGCCAGTTATATCTGTTGTTATCTCTAATTCTAGAAGCACAAAGCACCAAGGTTTAAAATCAGACATTACCTATAATTTACAGACAAGTGAGACTTTGCTAAAACACTTGCCTCAGGGAATGGACAAGATTCCTTGCAGATGTTCAGTTCATCCTGTTAGTTTTGTATTTATGTGACTGCAACCCTGGCTATAAATTACTGAGTTTGAGACCCGTGTTAGTAACTTCCTGGTAAATATCTTGTGATAGCTGTGCCTAGGGTGGAAGAAGCCAACGGTCCGACTTGAGTGTTTATTTGAACTATTTAAAGAACATTGCAAAATAATTGATACAATCTGAAAACTGTGTCAAAGTCATGATTGCACCTTGAAAACACCACTGAAATCATACCACTGAGATGGTAGGATAAACATTCAATTTGAAATGCTTTTAACGCAGAAAAAGAAAGACATCTCAAGGCCTTTTTATAAGTCAATGATTTACCTTTGAATCATAGCCATGGCTGCAATGTAGAAAATAGAATAGCCAACTAAAACAAACTCTTACAAACAGCAAGGTGATTGTGACTAGATTTCCCATTTTTCTTTGTGACATTCATTTAGAGATACACATTAGCCAAGGCATCAATGACAACTCACTTGTTTTTCTTCAAAATAATGCCAGTGAATCTTTTAGGCTCATAAAAGTAGGTTTACCATCTCACCCAAAAGAAGACACTTCTACTGAGAGGGTGCTGCAATGATTTTGTGCTCAAGTTCTGGAGAAGGCTTCAACACAGAACCTGCTGACAAGACATTTCAGTTTTGCCAGGACCAGATCTTCCTGCATCCAAAGTCTGATACTGTCAGTTGTGACCGGAAGTGTGTCCAGAAAATTTAAAACCATTACAGACATTTCCAGTGGTGGTACCTCCACTGGTGTATCTGTCAGCAGGGGATGGTGCAATGCATTGGTATTTGCTACTTGGCCTCCAGGACGGTGTTGCAATTTGTTCTTATGCACACTTAGTATTCGAGCCCATTGCTGAATTCAGCCTGAAGCTATGGGTGGCACTGCCGTGCCCTCTTTAAGTAGAGCTAGCAGGGGTTTATTACAAATTTATGTCCATAAAGGTACTGGTGGAACTTCCTTACTCCAAATATGACCTCCAAACCTTCCTACTCTATCTGAGTGTATTTATTCTCTGCATTAGCCAAAGTTCCAGATGCATACACTATTGGGTGTTCCTCTCCATTGGGCCACTTATGAGCTAATACTACCCCAATGCCTCATAGGGAGGCATTACAGGTTATTAACAGATCTCGGTTGGGATTGTAGTGTGCCAACACCTTAGAGGATGATAGCTGTTTCTTCACTTTGCTGAAAGCTGTGGCTTGGCTACACGACCATTTCCAAGGCTGACCCTTTTCGAAGAGTTGATGCAAAGGTGCCAGGATGGAGGCCAGGTTATGTATGAACCTTCTATAACAATTCACCAGGCCAAGGAAAGACCTGAGCTCCTGTACAGACCTGGGAGCTGGGGCGCCTTTGATCACCCTCACTAGATTGTAACCTGGTCTTGATAACTCTGTAGCCCAAGTAGATCATTTGGGGTGCCTAGAACACACATTTTTCCCTTCTAAGGCGCATGCCCACCTGGGAGAAACATCTAAGGACCGCGCCCAAGTTCTCTAAGTGCTCCTTATCGGTCTTCCCTGTTATTCGCACTCCGCCTAGATAAATGGTGATCTGGGACAGACCTTGTAAATTGTTCTCCATTGTCCGCTGAAAAATTACACAGGCTGAGAATACCCCAAGTGGCAATGCCATACATTGGTACAAACCCTTATGGGCATTAATTTAACACACTTCCATACATGGAATCCCCAATAAACAGAATTGTATGTACACATGGCTCATGTCCAGCTTCATGAGGGAATGCTCCCCTGCCAGCTTTGCATATAAATCCTCTGTGTGAGAGACTGGGTATTTATCCAGGTGTGACAAGTGGTTTATTGTTTGTTTAAAATCCCCACAAAAGCAAACTGACCCATCAGGCTTCACAGTCGGTATTATTGGTGCTGCCCATTCTGCAGAATGTACTGGTTTGATGATTCCTTTGCTTTCCAGCCTTCTGATTTCTGCCTGTACTTTTGCCCATAAAGCAAATGGCACTGCGTGGCCCTTCCAGAATTGTGGAATTGCTTCCTGGTCAACATGCAAGGTGGTCTTGGCTCCTTTGACAGTCCCTAGACCTTCCTGAAAAGCTTCTGGGTATTTAATTAAGATTTCACTCAGGCAACCTTTTTCTAATTGAAAAATGTTGAGAAAATCTAGGTGAATCTTTCTGAACCAATTTCACCCCATCAAGCTTGGGCCCGAGCCTTTTACTAACTGAACCAACTGCTTCTCATAAGAGACCGGAATTGAAGTTGTACCCTTAATCTGTAAAGGTTCCCTGGTATGGGTTCTCAGTCTAGCCGGGGTCTTGCACAAACTTAAGGGTTGAAGTCCAGACTGAATTTTATTAAAGACTGATTCTGCAATCACTTAAACGGCCATGTTGGTATACAACCTTCATTAGAACCAGGTCACCATTTAATCAGATGTTTATTTTGATTGGTTCTAATTTGGATGTTGCTGAGCAATGTCACTATTCCAAACCAGATGTAGGTGGACTTTCCAGGGTATGCACTCTCCTGGATACCGGTCTATGAGTTCTCTGACTCAATTTAGGACTAATGGGACTATTTTGCTGTCTTGAGTCCACATATCAGCAACTACAATGACTTGCCGGTCCAGATCCTGAAGAAAATTTTAACCATTTGGTCAAGGTTTGAGTTTGTTTTGGGGTTTTGCTGTGAGCTGACCTAATATCCCTCTGTTCAGGATATGTCCTAAGTAAAGCTATGCAATTGCCTTCACTCAAATGGCGTTCCCCAAGTTCAGTTGGACAGGTGAGGGTGTCCACTTCCATAGAAATACCCTGCAACTCATACTCTCCACTTGCCCTATTTTTTGAAGATAAAGCCAGGTATAGTGCCTTGCTGAAGTCCAACTGGGCTTCAGCTGGAAGGCACTTTTGCATAGTTACATCGTTAATCCCACTCTTGTCGCCACTGAAATAACTGCACAGAGGCCGGTAGCCTGTCACAAAGTCACTATTTATTTACACGTGGAGAGTCCTTGACACTGATCCACCTCTCTCAGAGTGAACAGGATGTCTCACACTCCTGTTCTTAAATGTCAGCCAGGGCTCGCTGATTGGAACACATTCACAGCCCCAGTCAGGGAACTCATTGTCTATGAGATCCACCTGGCTGACCTTGTTACAATCACTACAAGTAATGATTGCGTTTGTAACAGTATATTTGATAAACATACAACTGTTTACAGAGGGGGGTCTAGTGTGAGGCGAAATTGGGTCACCTTTTCTCAACTAAACCAGATAAATAACCATTATCAAATTGAAACCCTAATGTATTCTATTTGTACCCACATGTTTCTTTTCTGGAGTGTGGTTTTGAAAGACGCTGTTCTTAATTAAAAAAAAATTTCCTATGACAGCTTGGTGAAATTATATGACATAAGTCCTGGAAAACCATTACCAAATGGCAATGAAGGTGGTAATAACCTGCCTGTAGAAAGAAAGGTAGCTGTATAGTATTATGGGACAAATTATCATTTGAGATTGGTTTGCAGGTTAAAATAGGCACAGATAGCACCAGTGAAGTGCAGAAGTAGAGAGCAATCAGGACTTGTAGGGAACTAAAAGACCATGGTCCCCAAGTATAGTGGGATTTTTGCAGCATTAAAATAAATGATCGTTTTTCTGCATATTGAAAGGACATTTTCACTAACAGTTGGCCACCTGAGAGTGTTGTGGGGAATTCTAGTGCAAAGGTCAGAAGGATCTGGAGGATATTCCATCCATTTAAAGAAAATAACCTGCTGACCTTGATTCCTGGTACAGTATGTGCTTCTGATTGGTGCAACATCGAGTTGGGGAGGCTGAATTCACAACATTTCTCTTGTATAGCATTCAGGATAAAAGTTAAACTGAGTTCAGAAACTGAGCTGTTATTGGCCAAAGTGCAGATAATTATGTTTTTACACTCATTTTTGGGATGAAATTGGTTTTTGTCAGGAAACAGTCAGATAGTAGATTAGCAACACGTTTTGTACCCTCCAAAACTCTCCTCTATTGAAAGAAAATTCTGTGTAGTGTAAAACAAACTGCTAGCTTACCGTCAAGCAGTGCTACTGGCAAATATCAAGTTCATCCCCTTTGGCTTCCACTTAGAATGGTTGAGCACAGTGATTTTGCAACACTCTTTCTAAACTGTCAGTCTGTGTAACTGAAGCACATTCACTGAAGCCCTCACAGATACTCTTACAAACTAGTTTGGTTTTGCAAATGTTTGAATTGCATTCCTTCAAAATTTTATTTAAAGTAACTACACTTTTTGATTTGTTTTCTGTTAAATAGATAAAACATGAAAAGTCAAGATCTGATATGAGAAAAGACTTGCATCTATGGAGTGTGTTCCATAACCTCAAGTTGCCCCAAAGCAATTTACAGTCAATGAAATGGTTTTTGAAGTGTTCTCCCTGTTATAATATAGGACAGGTTACAGTTTATAGAACGGTAAATTTACAAGTGTTATTTCTGGAAGATGAAACTCCAAACTAGTCATGCGATTTAGTAAAAAAAAAACACATATTAAACTTATGTTTAACAGAGTCTCATTTTTCTCATTGCCTGGAGCAACATTCAGGAATTTATTTTTTCTCTTCAAACCTACTAGTTGTGTTGTGCATTACTGAGGAAGCATTGGCAGACTGGTAATCAACATCAGACAGCATAATTCAAAGGAGCTCAGACCAACATTTACCTTTCAAAAGACACCAAGTAAACAAATTAGTTAGTACTGTAATATAGTTAATTGCTGCTTGTAGAATCTTGCTGCATATTAAATTGGATCCATACGTGCACACAGAATAAGAACGTGACACTTCAAAAGTAACATCATTAATGAATATGCATTGGGATTTTAAGGTTGTGAAAAATTTTATATGGGAAAAGAATGTTTCTCCTTTTCTTTCTACTTTATACCTACAATTGTTGTCAGTGAGATTCATGCACTGGATTTTAAGGGCCTCCCAAAGATGGGAATTTCAAGACCCAATCTAGCACCAACGACGAGGAGCATTTGGAGACGTCAGGGTGGGACAGGAATCCTGCTGTTCATCCAAATCAGGCAAATTAAGGTACTTTACGAACTTATTAAGAGCTTCTCAGGGGTAGTAGGTTAGAATTTCAAAGTTGCGCATAACAAGTATGCAGCTTCAAAAACAGGTCAACTGGGGGAAGGCAGGTAAAGGGAAAGGAGCCACCATACCTCCTTTTGGCATCATCCTAAGGGTAAGTGGGGCAAAGGGACACTCAATCTTTAGTCAGGAGATGTCCAGGTTGGAGCACACATAGCAAAGAGTGGCCACACTGCCTGCCTGTGCTTTGAAAGAGGTCAGCACCCTCTGGCATTATGGGTACAAAAGAACAAAGACTGTAAAGTTCAACTGGACAGATAGCTTTTTTTGTATTGATTCACAGGATGTAGGCATCACTGGCTAGGCCACTATTTATTGGCCATCCCTAATCGCCCAGAGGACAGTTAAGAGTTAACCACATCGATGTAGGTCTGGAATCACATGTAGGCTAGACTAGGTAGTTAAGGATGGCAGTTTCCTTCCCTAAAGGGCATCACTGAACCAGAAGGGTTTTGTTTACTCCAACAATCGTCAATGGTTTCATGGTCAGCATTAGATTTCTTAATTTCAGATTATTATTGAATTCAAATTCTCCCATGTGCCATGGCAGATTTGAACCAGGGTCCCCAGCACATTACCTGTGTCTCTGAATTGACAGCCCAGTGATAATATCACTAGGCCATCACCTCCACACATACCTGCCCTGAAAGAAGGCTCCAGATGGAAATGGGGCACCACTATTACATTTTGAAGACAACTGCAATGCAGGGCAACAACATCCGCATAAAAGATAGAACACTGAGTATCAAGAGAACACAGGGGAGGGAGGAATAACAGGAAGGATATAGGGCCCATACCTTCATTGATGGGTTGACTAGTACAGACAGGGCTAGCTGGTGATGACTGGGAAGGAGTTGTGCAGGAGTATCTCCAGGTAGAGGGTTACATCACAAAAACATGACACTTCACAATATTGGTCCTCATGCCCTGCCAATACTTATCAAAGACACTGCAGTCTTCTTAAATTCTGGCTCCTTACATGAACCAGCAGCGACTTCAGGGGCATTTCAAAAAGGTTGCACATACTGCATATCCCTGGGCACCAATGCCCTCTTCGCCAGAATTAGATTGCACATTAATTGAATGAAAAATCCGGAACTTTGCAAAGCTGAAAGCATTGGGTTTTTCTCTTCCTTCACTGGATTCCTTCAGATGCAGAGTATTATCAACCACATTCATGAGACCATTAAGGCATCCAGTGAGTGAACCATTTGGTTCATCAGCTGGGAGGTCTCCCACTCCATTAATATCTAACTGGTGTCCAAGCACAAGCTGAACTTCCTTCATTTTCCTGGCTACTGCCAGGAATGTTTCATCCTCTGCCAATCCAGGCTGGTTCAGATGTTCACCTCAGCTTCCAAAGTGCACAAATGGATCCTACAGAGTTTGAGACGATAGTTTCTGGCCCCTGTACAGGAACCTCAGACATGGGCTCACAGCTGATACCACTTCTACCATTTGCTCAACTAGACAGTCATTAAGCAGGCTATCGAGCTTCTGAAGTTGGGCTTCCAGTGGCTGGATGAGTCAAATAGTGTCTTTAATACTTTTTGGAAAGTATTTTGGTCTTTGTGATGATCTGCTCCCCTCTCCTGAACATTGCCGTCCAGAATGATATTGGCCTTGTGGACAGTGAGGTCCTGGAAGGAGAAGTTCAATGTGGGGGAGAAGGACCGAACGTAGATGAGAGATTAGGAATATGAAATGGAGGGACAAGGTGCCGAACAGAAAGGTTAACCCCTGCTGTATGACAAGGATAGTCTCCTCCTGCTAAGCTGCTACCCTCCATGATTGAACAGCCACCCCCTTGTCTTCCTTCTGACCTCAAACATTGTATTCAGGCTGGTATCTCTGAGGTGAGGCTCAGTTCTGTCCCAGGTGCCAAGCCTCTGGGTTCCCCTGTGACATCTTGCTCCTCTCTGGTGAAGTGGGAGGCTTTGCCATGAGCCATAGATCTCTCCCACTGGGCAACCTGCAGCCCTAGCCATGGCTGCTGTGAATGAGCCTCACATTTCCTCTGAGCCCCTCCAGCTCCACACTCAAGGAATTGAAATGAGTAGCATGTTTTTCTCTATATCAGTTCAGAGCTCTGACTTGTGAAAACTGGGACTTTAATGCGCTCTTACTAGGGACCATTTTCTCAATAGAAAACAAAGCCGTGAAACAATTTAAGTGCTATAGAACCTGGAGTGTGATTTCTAACTCTACAGTCATGTTTCAGTTTAAATTTGATGTTAATTTGGGCATTTCTTTGATATAGCAATACAATCGCAGGTCTGACACAAGTTAAAAATACTACGTAAAATGATGATATTGAACAATAAGGGCTGCGCAGATATATTATTTGTAATAATTAAATATTAGGCATTTTTGTTTTTTTATTTTATTATCTTACTAACCATTTTTTATAGACAGTTGTTACATTACTTGAAGGAAATAACCTGCACATTAGCTGCATATTTTATGATGAGCTCAGGGATATAGTACATCACTTCTTAAACAAACAAGATTGTCAACTGTCCTACGTTTCGATATTTCAGTTCTATTTCTCGTTAGATCTATAGAGATCCACCATAACTGGTATTTGACAGGACTGGATTCTGAAATCATAGAATTCTTGAATTTATACCCTGACACGGTCTTTGAAGTCATGCCCCAAATTATTGCACACCATACAAATGTTATTGTCATTTGAATATATTTAAATTGAGCCTCCATACTTACCAATAGTAAAGGGAAAACATGTGCGCGCCAGAGTGTCTTGCAGTGCAACATCTTTTTATTCACCTGTAACACATTTATCAAAATACATGAATAAAAATGTTACTTCAATCCCTTTATAATTTAAAATATTAGCACATTCTTTTATTCTTTTTACGGTAATTCTACGGCTGGGTGAGATTTGTGCAGAAAGAAAATAGTAGGATTTTTTTTTAGAATTTTATGGCCTAATTTGGCTAATTGGATCTTGAATTAGCTGAGGGACAGAAAGCCACTGATAGTCAAAGGATGTTTTTGTGACTGGAAGCCTGGGTCCAGTGGGGTTCTGTAGGGATCAGTTGTGGGGCCCTTGTTCTCTATGGTACATATAACCTGTTCTAGACTTGAATGTAGGAGATTTGGTCAGTTAGTTTATGGATGATACAAAAATCGGTGGGGTGGTAAATAGCGAGGAGGATGGCCTTAGATTACAGGAGGATATAGATGGATTGGTCAAATGAGCTGATCAATGGCAAATAGAATTCATTGTGGATAAATGTGAGGTGATGCATTTGGGCAGGACAAACAAGGCAGGGGAATACATGATGAATGGTAGAACCTTGGAAAGCAAGGTTTAGATGGACCTTGGTGTGCATGTACACTGTCTCTTAAGGTACGGGCCAGGTAGATAAAGTGGTTAAGAAGGCATATGGTATACTTGTCTTCATTAGTCGAAGCATAGAGGATGGAGGTGGTACTTGAACTGCTTAAAACATTGGTTAGGTTACGGTGTGAGTATTGTGTGATTTCTGGAATCCTCATTGTAAGAGTACATGATTACACTGGAGAGGGTGCAGAGGAGTTTTATCAGGATGTTGCCTGGGCTGGAGGGTTTTGGCTATGAAGCGGGACTGGATAGATTGGGGTTGTTTTCCTGGGAGCAGAGGAGACTGAGGAGAGCATGTTTGAAATGCACAACATTACAAGGGGCATAGACAGGGTAGCCACAAAGGAACATCTTCCCTTGATGCAGGGATCGATGACGGGGGCGGCGTAGATTTAAGGTAAGGGGCAGTTACCACACCTCAGGCAAAGGGAGAGATTGTGAAGGAGAGTCCATCATGGTAACCGCAAACATTCCGCATTGCAAACCAATTGTCCAACTAATTGAGCTAACCAACTCACAAAGGCATACAAGACTATGGGCCAAGTACTGGAAGATGAAATTAGAATGGGTAGTTGTTTTTGACCAGTGTAGACTCGATGTGCCAAAGAACTTTTAACTGTGCTGTAGACATCTATAGCTCAATGATTGTGAATGCTGTTTTCTCCTTAAACAGGTCATTTTTAAAAAGTATTCCCCTTTTCTAAATTGCTCAAACACTATTTCAACAAATGTGCAAAATGTAATACAATGAGCATCAGAAACTCAGAAAGTCCTTTCCAGTCATGGTTTCTGTGGTCAGTATAGCTTGGTGCTGGTGTGTAGATGATATGGTTGATAGAACGAATACAGGCCGAAATGTGATCCAGGTGATGGGGGCTTTGCTGGCTGGGTAGACAGCTGGCATGAGCCCTGCATTGCCTCTGTTGGTGAAGGTCCAATATATTTAAGTAGCCACCATTGGACTTTGCCCAGGATTCAGAATCCCAAAGGCAGAAATCCTACTGACCTGACAGCCAATCCAAGGCCAGCAACTTTCCATTGCAGACAAGACCACCGAGAGGAGTAGCAGCTGCCTGCTATGCACACCCCCAGAGGTTCTGGATTAGTGAGGTGTCCTGGACCAAAGGTGGTGGAGTGCAGAGAGTTGCTGGCAAGTGTCAGAGGCTTGGCTTTCAAAAGTCAGTCCCAACATCCCCATCGTTCTCTACTTGATGCTGAGTCCCTCAGTCATTCCCGGAGTGCTTTGAATGAAGGAGCACCCTGGAATCCTTCAAACAACTTTGCTAAGGGTTTACTGCCTAGATATCCCAAGTGGTGACTCCCTGCTGCTGGTTGAATGCCAGTGATGAGGCTCTTCAGTGGGCATTAATTGCCCACATGGGGGCTTTAACCAGCATCTGGGTGGGAAGACCTTTCGCAAGCCTTCCTGCATGGTTTAAAATCAGGTTGAGGCAGGAAAGCTGGGTGCTATCCACCTGGCATACCCCTTGCAACCCATGACGACTGACTGTTCCCATTTCCAAACTCATACATGGGAGAGCATTATATTCAGGAATTTAAGTGCTGCCCATCAGAAGCACCTCAGGATAGAGGACCCCAGTGGTGGAAATGCTGTTCATTCAGAGGTCAGCTGCTCTGCATTGTACAACAGTGCCACCACGAACAGTGACAGTTGCCGGTATTGTACCTGCCAGAGGCTAAGGTTCATCAAGGTACCCAATGCAACAGGCCAGATTAAAATTCTTCCTGTAGTCTTGTGTCTTTGGAGAAGTGTTGCCACCTTTGTCACAAAAACAGTTTCAGGGAAACAATGGCATTGATTCATCAGGTAATCAAAATGACATGACAGATTTCCTTCTGAAGTATTAACTACAACAAAAATAAGCACGAGTGACTCCTCGAAGCCAGGTCACCACCTAAAAGGCACAAATCAGTAGCTTGATAGAATACTCCCCATTTGCCTGGATGGGGGGAGCTCCAATATCACTCAAGAAGCTTGAAATTATCCAGGACAAAGCAGCCCACTATTGCCACCACATCCACCAGCACCAACTCCCTTCACCACTGATGCTCAGTGGCAGCAGTGTAAAAATTCAACAAAGATCCATAGATGAGATCTTCTTAACTCACTTCTCGCTGGAAGGACAAGGGCAGCAGATACATGGGAACACCACAATCTGCAAGTTCCCCTGCAAACCACTCACAATCCTGACTCGGAAATATATCGCTGCTCCTTCACTGTCACTGGGTCAAGATCCTGGAATTCTGTCCTTAATGGTATTGTGGGTCTACCTACAGCACATGACCTGCAGCAATTCAAGAAGGAAGCTCACTGCTACCTTCTCAAGAGCAACTAGGAATGCGTAATAAGTGTGGGCCCACTGAGCAATGCCAATATTCCATGAGTGAAATAAAAAATACACAGGATAATAACAACAACAGGAAGGAGTAATTGGGCTTTTTATCAATTTCTGCCACTTGATTCTAAAATGTCTAAACAGCATCGTTTTCTTGTTCATTGCTGTTAAGATTTTTTAACAGCAAAATAGGGAAAATAGCATGTATAGTCACAGATTAAAAATAAAAGCTAATGTTGTTGCCAAAGGATGAGATTTTAAAATATTACGATAAGTTCTGCACAATATCATACTCCCAGCTTCACATTCTGGCAAGCACTTGAAAAAGAAATGTAATTTATCTTGGCAGTCCCCAGTGGTCCCTTCAAAGGCCACTGGCTAGTTCACGTGCAGGCTTGTTTTTAATCGAAGAGTAGCAGGGCTGATGCCAACTGCATTTAGGACAGCCAGATTTTACTTTTTATACAGGAAGCTTCCAAGAGAATTGGGACACGCTATTTTTCTTCAAATGGTTTAACGCCTGTTGAAAATGCCGGCAAAGGACACCACTTTTTATTTTGCCTTTACCAATATGCTGGGTGGTCCACTTGCAGTGCATAATGAGTGCATACACCTTCCCAGCATTCTGGATGCTATGCACCCATTTTAAACATGTCTACCAACATGAATGTCAATACCTTCAAGTCGAGTAAGACAGTATTCTTATTTGTCAATTAACTGCATATCACCATAAATTAAAAGCAGTAGCAGCTCATTACAAAAATGTGAACACACAATTACTGTAATTGTACTCTGGAAGGAATAGCTGTCAGAAGTCATGGTCAATTTCTATTGAACTACTTCCAGTTGTCTAGTGTCCCTGCAATTCCTCAATAACATAAGCAGACATACAAACACATATTTAACATACCAATAGTTACCAACTCATTAACCATGTCTCAATTTTCTTGTACAATCATGCAATGTCTAAATATCACAAGGAAATTGGCAGCATATAAAGTAGGAGGGTCCTCTACACATAATTATTACTGGGTTTAGAGGCTTATTCAATATAATTAAGTGTATTAGACATTAATCATGGCCAGGTTCATTATCCTGGCTGCAGTGTGAACAAATATGTCAGAATACCATAAGGATTTCTCGTTAACCACTGTAATCCAATCATCCTTTATACCTCAGGCTGTAAAATGTCTGTTTGCAGTGAACAAAGGGAAAAAGAGTCATTGTGAACAACATTGGTGTTCTTCAACTAACCTGGTATAGCTTAATAAAAAATTCATTGTTAAAAATTATTTTCTTTTACCATTAAAAACTGTTATGCAGAGGCCTCAAAATTCACTTGATCTGACATATTTTGAACTGCAGGTGTTTTGAAATGGTGAGCAAGAGCCATCATTGACCATAACACTGCTTACCTCAATGGTTCATTTTCCAGAATGTCTTGAAGTGACTTACTTTTTGTAGAGTTGAAATTATGAAATACCGCACAAAAATCATAGTCAAGTGCTTAGCAACACAACACAATTACAATTACATTTTCAAATACTTTTCCACCATTTTTAAGTTCCATAATAAAATATTCTACAATTCTCCTTGCACATACTGGAAAATGATGATTAATGTAAGAAAGAATTAGAAACACATTCCAATTGTAGTGACATGCTTGACAACAAGGTGCAGGGCTGGATGAACACAGCAGGCCAAGCAGCATCATAGGAGCAGA